AATCCAAACAAGGAATGGAAATAATGTTCCTACTTATAGCAGGCACATAGTAGCAATTCTTAAGTTCTAAAACCAAGCCTGAAGGTAAAGACAAATGAAATGTCCCCACGGCTAATGCAGCAACTCTTGCTCCATTTCCTACGCGTAGGTCCACTTGTCCTTTCTCCAAAATTCTACTGTTGCTTAGGCCATTCATATTTGTACAAATATGAGCACCACAGCCGGTATCCAATACCCAAGAAGTAGAACCAGAAGTGGTAACATTTACTTCTATAACATAAATACCCCTAGACGATGTTTCAAAAGTCTTTTTACTTTTCAGATCTTCCAAGTGGGGTTTAAACTCTTGCTTGAGAACAATTCTCGGGTTTCGATACCATTGGAGGAAGTTTGATCCATTCAATTTGTTCTTCTCAAGACCATATCGAAATGAAAACGGGTTGTGAGGAGTTAACATTTCTGGAATAAAGAATAGAGAATGTTAATATGATGTTCATAAATTGAGAAATCTCAACAATTAAGAAAACTCATATTATATTCAAAACATTTTCCTCAAATGAATATAATAAGCCAAGATCCATATTTCACTAAAATCCGAGTGAGCTTTGGCTCATCGCCCGAATTTTAACTATTTAGGTAAGCAACACTTTGCTAATTATATCCAATATAATTCTTGGTTGTTAGACGACATCTTATGTCTTATCCAACCTATGTCTCTAAGCCCAAAACCGTTTTGATAGCCTAGTCAAGTAAACCAATCTTATTTCATATGGTAACCGTTACCATCCACCTCACTCATGTAATTGTAGACACCTTGCTTTGGCAAGCCCATCTTACAACGAAACGAGCCTTGATGGTTGATAAAATTGGGTAGACATTAAAATACTTGAAATTAATTGAGGAACAAATTTTAATTCAATTTTAGTTTATATTTAAAATTTATATCAAATATAACAGATAAATATAACTAATACATATCCAATATGTAATTTAATTGAATTATAAATAATTTAACTAATCTTAATCAAATTAAAATATTAGATTATTTATTAATTAAGGTTAATTTATTTTAATATCCAATCATATTAGAGATTAAAATAAATAGATTGAAACGATCAAATCAAATCAATCACACTAACCAAATAAACTAGAGAACTGGTTTAACCGGTTTAAAAGGTTACATAGAATCATACGATTGTGTTACAATAACACACATCGTCAAATAAACGATTTAAAAAAAAACAGCTTTAGGTCGATCAGATGATTCCATTATACATATAATTTTATTTTAAAAATAGGTCACCAAGAATTTCGATGAAACTACTGATGACTTTTAAATTATATGCATGCAGAGGCGATGAAACACTTTCAATCAATGTCAAATTTATATAGCGACTGATTATAATCAAATTATAATTATTTCAAAATTGCTATATTAATTTTAACAAATATATCATATATATCTATTATACTAGATTCAAATCAATATTACACAAGTAGGCTCTGATACCACTGTAGGAGTTCATACCGGTTTATAACGATTTATAAAACAACCTATGAATTCTATTTTCCTAGAATCTCATGTTAATACTGAAATAAATCTAGATCTTTGGGGTTTCGAATATACCTGGTTATTCGCAGCGGAAAGATGAATAGACCAAGTCGAGATTTCGAGCACTCCAAACGTTGTGCCTCTACCGGTATCCACACGCACACAAACTAGATCGATACGGGATGCTAGTGCCGTCAGATCAGATCTCTAGAACTTGACAAACCTTTTGTCTCTATTATATTAGGGTTTGCCGTCGTTAGTTGGATTGGTTAATTATCAAGAGTCATTGTCTTTATATAAGACAAACCAAAACTCTTACCAACTTAGACCACGTAACTTAATTCACTAATTAAGTCAATGGGCTGAGCCCATGTGCTAATCACCAAATAAACGTTTTATTTGATTAAGCTGTTAATGTGAATATATGTATATACTTATATCACATATATAAATATATATTATACTACATTAAAACCCCAATACTTGATTGATCTAATTTGTTTAGGTGTGTGACCCTGTAGGATCATATAAAATTAGTAATGAATTCATAATTCATAGATTATAAGCGGTTTCTAGCAAAACATTATAACCACCTAATTTTATACGATTGTCGAACCTCGACGTTACGACTTCAACTAGAATAAGTACAAATGATTTTAGGACATTCCCAACAGCTTTGGCAAAGCAATCCTTGTTAAATGCGTCTGTTGTAATCACTCCCACTGGAGTTTGAACCTTTCTAGATTACTGCATTTGTGTTCCAAAAAAAAAAAAGAAGTTTATTTAACGTTTAAGAACTTCCTTAGAAACTAGGGTTGAAGATGCATAGCTTTTTTTTAAGAGATGGTGTCTTTTTTTTTTTTGAAAAAAAGAGATGGTGTCTATGTGTAATTAAGTAGACATATATTGTGGATGAAGATACTCTTGATAGTTAAATTATATGGAAAGAGAAAGATGTTGATGGTTAGAATACAAAAAACACAGGGAAGGTCAATAACAATGTAGAGTTAAAGTAAATGTGTACGCCTGGAGAGTCTCCTGGAGATCCGTTTGCACGCTTTGTCAGCTTCTTTGTAAAGAGAAAGATTGGTTACTCCTTCAGCGATGGCTTTTTTGTTCTAAAGACAATAATAGCATTAGCAGGTGACTGTCAGAGATGGTAATTAGTTAATATTTAGCTAATAAGAATCTAAGAGAGGCATTATTTATTACCTTCATCCTGAAGCTGTTGAGAGCATTCTTGACAGTGAGAGTATCACTAGACGATGATGATAGTTTGTGGGAAAGATCCTTCCGTTCGTCTACAAGCTTTTTAAGAAGAGCAGCGCTAGCTTCAAAATGCTCCTTGTAGAGAACATCCCATAGCTTAAAGCAATCAACGTCTTTGGTCAAAACACTGATGGCGATTGCTGTAGCTTCACTGGCTAGAGCAGGATTTCCTTGTCGACCAGCTAATTCCAAGGAAAAAGTGAATATCTGTTCCAGTGCTTTTGCACTATCATCTGTAATAATATCATCTGTAATAATATAATCTGTAATAATATTATCTGTTGCAAGGGCCACTTCCTTCAACCAGGGATAAATTGCCTCAAACCTCTCTGTTGCTTTCTCTACTCTAGCGGATGGAGCAGGGAATGTAAGCCGCACCAAGATCTCAAACGAACAAGGTGGAATCAGCCTCTCTCTATGCTGATTTCCAACAGCTGTGCTTCGGAATAATGTCGGAGCTTCCGGACACCTTGACAAAAGCCTGATTAAAAGAAACAAACAAGATTTTAGACATACAAGGAGAGGAGGGAGGGAGAAAATCTTAAAAATGGACTCTCACATCTCAACAATCTGCAGGATGAAATCAAGTGAGCGGGAGCTGTAGCACTCCTCGTTATTAGCGACTAGTGGCAGCAAGTCGCATGCCCACGATTGAAAGGCACCAATTATATCTTCTGGGAAGGTCTGTGACCATTTAGTTAAAAATATTGAGAAACTTGAACAAAACACACTCTCTCGGTTACATAAAAAAAAAAAAGATTTATCACAATTAATTAACCTGAGCCACCATCCAAACTAGAACCGGGAGAGTGTCCTGGCCTTGATATTTAGATGTATCCCTCAGCTCTGTCAAAAGGATAGTCAAAGCAGCAGGTTCGAAAGGCAACACCATGGCTAACACAACAAAGGTTCCCACCTACAAAAGTTAAGAAGAAAAAAACAAAAAACATTGGAGTCAGTCAGAGTCGAAACAAAAGTTAAAAACTGAACCTCAGATTTTTCCAAAAAAAAAATGAAGAAGCTGAACCTTAGATTTTTCAGCATTAGGACGTACAACTTCTTCGACAACTCCACGCCGCCATTCAGTGAGAATGAGATGAGAGGCCGACTGTACAAAGTCAGTTAGTGCCTTAGACGGAAATGTTCTGATGTAATCGTTTGATATTACGTAGGCAGGCGTAGGAATAAGAGATAAAGGAACCTTGCAAAAAAAAAAAGAAAGATAATCATCAGCCCTAATTAAACCACCACAAGGAAGACTTTTAGATGAGATTCACAAAAGGCTGACTCTCACATGAGCGAGCTTGGATAAAGGAGCCTCCTCGAACATGTTGACGACGGATTGAAAGGATATTTGGGAGAGTGCAATCCCATAGTAATCGACTAATTTCCATAATTTCGATATCTGTACTTCATGAACCCACCAATCACAACCAATCTAACCAAACCAAACCAAACCAACCAACCAACCAGAATTAAAATTTCGATTCCTGAATTTAGAATATTAATCCGAATATAATAATCACTTTACCAATAATTCGTCGAGGAAAGTCGAAAGATGTGAGGGATCGATCTTTTTGGCAGCTTCGGAGAAAGACAATATCGCCGCCATCTTTTCAGTTTCCTCCCACCTTTTGGTTAAGGGTGGTGCCAATCCGGGGGGACGTGAGACTCTCCAGGAGATCAGTTTGCGTGAGAGTATCTTGCACGCCTTGTCAGCTTCTTTGTAAAGAGAAAGATTGGCTACTCCTTCAGCGATGGCTTTTTTGTTCTAAAGACAATAATAGCAGCATTAGCAGGTGACGTCAGAGATGGTAATTAGTTAATATTTAGCTAATAAGAATCTTAAGAGAGGCATTATTTATTACCTTCATCCTGAAGCTGTTGAGAGCATTCTTGACAGTGTGAGTATCAATAGCCGATGATGATAGTATGTAGTAAAGATCCTTCCATTCGTGTACAAGCTTTTTAAGAAGAGCAGCGCTAGCTTCAAAATGCTCCATGTAGAGAACATCCCATTGCTTAAAGCAATCAACGTTTTGTTTCAAAACATTGATGAGGATTGCTGTAGCTTCACTGGCTAGAGCAGGATTTCCTGTAAAACAAGCAAAGGGTGGTAAATTCAAACCGAGAGAGAGAGAGAGAGAGAGGTTTTGTTTGTTGCCAATACCTTGTCGACCAGCTAATTCCAAGGAAAAAGTGAATATCTGTTCCAGTGCTTTTGCAACAATAATATCATCTGTAAAACTACCATCTATTGCAAGGGCCACTTCCTTCAACCAGGGATAAACTGAAATATGTGAGGGATCCATCTTTTTGGCAGCTTCGGACAAAGACAATATCGCCGCCATCTTTTCCGCCTCCGCCTTCAGATATGATTCGCTCTGATCCATTAGGTTTTCTAGTTCAAAACTCGATGAGAACTGGGAAGCTTTACTAATTTTGATATTTATACACTTGTTAAAATAGGCTTCAAACCCGCGGGCCTAAACAGACTTAATCTATACTATTATGATTTTTTGCAACAAAAATAATAATTTATATTATTCATAATATAGTTAAAAATAAGTTATTCTATCTCTATTATTGAAATAGAAGTACCTATTGAAATGCCCCTTAATGTTCAGCGTTATTTACAATGGAATGCCACTGAAGTTATTAATTACCCACTTTATAGAATTCTTTGTCTTTTCACTTTAATTAATGCATTTCTAAAATCAAATTTTAACTTAAAAAAATTATGGCAACAATAATAAATGAAATAATTATTTTCATATATACCTTTCATAATTAAATAAATTATATAGAAATTATTTTACTAATTCCATATACATAATAACTAATTCCAATATTAATTAATCTACCTTTTAGGATTTTTTTTCTTTTTAATTATCTACATATCTTTAAATAGTTAATGAACAATATTGTTTTCAAAGATATATAATTATACTTTTATTGTTTATAAGTAATAACTAAAATAAAAGTCACAAAAATAAACATTTATATAATATATAATACATAGATTAATATAAAAATATTATGTTATGTATATTTTTATATAAATAATAGTTCAAGGTAAATTTAGAATAATAAAAGTTTAAAAAGTAGAAATATATAGGACCATATATTTTAAATAGTAGATACAACAATTTAGTTATACATTATCATAAAATTTTGATCCATAACAAAAAAATACATTTGTGCAGATATACATGTCATATTTTTAAAATAAGTATGACACAATGATAGTTTATAAGATAAAATAGAATTACTCAATATAAACTATAAAATTGTGTGTTTAAAATGTCGTTTTAAACAATTATTTAAACGGGTAAATTTAGAAATATATATTATCACTTATAAAATATATAAAAACAAACACTTGCGCGGATCAAATAACAAACTTTTCGGTATTCTTCTGTCAAAATTAAACCCATAAGTAATTTGTAACCATTTAATTGATATTTCATTTTTTAATTTTACAAATTTCAATTCAAATGTTTTATATATTAAAAATTTTATATAATTTGAACATCAGGCTTTTTCTTAGAAATGTTATAACTAATTTATCATTTTTTTGTATACCATATTAACTCTTACTTCTCAAGATTTGATGTATCTTTAAATGAAAAATATTTTCAATGTATCGTCTACATGTTAGATTTGTTTGTATGATATCCAATATTTTTGACACAATAAATTGTTTACATGCACAAAAAAAAACTTAATGTATACAATTAATTTTTACAAAAATTTCATTTAATATAAAAATTAAAAAAATAAAATTAATTCCTGTGAGGTCGCACGGGTCAAGGTCTAGTGTTATTTGAAAGGCTAAGATTCATCTCTATTATTAAAAGAGAAGTACCCACTAAAAAATACCCCTAAGTTTTCCAACTTATTTACACTCATATGCCACTGAGAATTTAATTAAACTTCCTATTTAAATGCTTGTCTTTTTCAGTTATATTAATTAAACATCCTATTTAAATGCTTGTCTTTTTCAGTTATATTAATGAGTTATTTAATCAACCAAAAAATNAAACAATTCAATAAATACAAAATCAAAACAGAAAATCTTATCTCTATTATAACAGAAAGTTTTGCAAGATCGTATCCTTAAATCAATATCATATCCAAGATTTTCGCATCATAAGCATATATTTAATTTCAACCTGATTGGTCTATAATTTCGGTAACTAATTTTCTTGCGGAAGAGGAAACAATAAATTCAAAATCTAGTGGAATATAGAGATTGAACCAAATTCCTATATTCAGGTATATTTTCGAAAGAAATAGAAAAAAAAAAACGGTTTTAACATGGGTTTCAATAATGTGGGCTTTCAACATATTATTTTGACACAGAACAAATGATCAGAAATAATATATTATTAATATAATTATGAAATAGTTTAGATTGGGATGACCAAATTTTAATCTGTTTTTATATGTTTATTTTTTATACAAATTTACAAAATCTTTTTATTTTTCTAAACATGTTAAACTAACTTTTAATTTTTAGGCATATTGAGTCATAATATAATTTTTAAAATAATTTGCGGTCATTTCCATTGGCTTTATATATAGTATACAATTCTCCAATTAACTATATATGTTTAATTTTTTTATATGATATCGAAGATTGATCATACAATAGATGGTTTAACATGCCAAAAATATTATATGCTAAGTGAATATAATATGATCAAATATTACAAGTACATCATTTAATAAAATAAATAATCAACAACCGGAAAATCATACCCGCGCTGGCGCGCGGGTCAAGGTCTAGTATTCTTGTAAAGCCTATGCATATTTCCGTTAAAGTAGCGGCCACTCATCTGTTTAGGTTTTAGACTTAGTTTGATTCTTTGGAAACAGAAGCCACGACGTCATGACTCTTAGATCCTTCCTTACTTTCAGGTTCATCGTTCTTTTTTTTTTTCTTGTGAAATTTTATAAATAAATATATTTTTCTTTTAAATAAAGAAACCATATTATTTTAGTAAATTTATACATAGTAGTACATGATACTATTTAGTAAATTTTTTCGATATAGGATACTTTTGGATGTTAAGGTATTAAATTTTATGATTTTATTATTAAATTAAGATTTCAAAATATTATATTACTTTTGATTCTTACAACATAATTTATTTTTTCATATTGAATTTAAAAATTATAATTTAGCATATATGATTTTATCTTTTGTAAAATTTGGATTAGTATCATTTTGTGTTTGTAATATTTCTTTTCGAAATTGTATATTTTGTCAAGAGAGATTTAGAAAATTATACAACTATTTTGAGTTTGGAAGATTATATAACTTATGATTTTTTTTTGTTACTAAGTTACTTCAATACTTTATAAATATAAATATTTATTACATATCAAAATGCAGAAATTGTTTTGTATCAGTAAAATTGTTGGGCGACGTATTTTAATATCTAAAGAGTAAAAATGAACGTATAATGTCTAAGAATTTTTTTTTATATATTATTATTTTTAATTAAATTAGTTTATTTGACCAGGTAATAAGAATAGGCCAATAAATGAGATAATTAACAAACGAAAGAGATTTGGTGATTAACGTTATTTGTTTGGTTAGATCAATTTTAGATTTAGAGGTACGTAACTGTTGATTATATTGTTTTTTGTTAGGAAAGTATCATATAAGATATGAAAGTAGATAGATGTTCATTTATTATGTTATTAATTAATAGTCCAAATGACTTGTCAACAGTAGATAAAAATAATGACTCTATTTTAATAGATTAGACTAGATTTTGACCCGCGCTTGAAAAACGCGAAAATTTTTTATGATTAAAAATTTATATCATTGGGTTTTGTCTTAATTTAAAGAATATTTTGATATAAAATCAGTTCACCAAAATTTGTGGTGATGATTGTTTTTCATTAGTTTTAAGTTTCAGTTTTTATTTTTAGATTTTGGTTTTTGGTTTTTGGTTTTTAGTTTTTAAGTTTCTACTTTTCATTTTCAGTTTTTGGTTTGAGTTTTTAATTTTTAAACCCGCTGAGTTAGTTTGAACTAATATTACCAACAAACAAATCTCAATTAATCGAACATCTAATTTAAAACTGAAAATATGACAACAATTTAAAAAAAAAAATTGAAATAGTTTATTTTGTAAATAAACAAAGCAAAAAAAGATATAACATGTGTTTTCAGCTTTTGGTTTTGGATTTTAGTTTTTAGATTTGGTTTTTGGTTTTGCTTTACATTTTTCTAATCAGTAAATTATTTAAGAAAAATAAAAAAAATAATTATTTAAAAGTTACCTTTGAAATTTACCAAAACAAAGTGATTGTTATTTAAAATAAAAAAATATATTAACATGTTTTAAAGTACATGATTTAAATAAATGATTAATAATAGATAATTTTGTTTTGTTAAAAATACTAAATAACTTTTGAGTCTGAAAATAATAATTGATTTTTGGTCTTTCAAGGTGAAAAGTTTATTCAATGTTTTTGGAGTTTTTTTCTTAATACTAAGCCCAAAAACCAAACTATATAATTTGTTTAGAAAATAAAAGTAAATCCAAGACTATATTCCATAAATAACTACTGGTTTAATTTAAGTATAATTAGTAGATTTCCATATTCTATATTTTGATGATATATTTCTTTTAGAACATTCCATATTTATAGGAGAAAATATGTGTTTTCGGTATACACATAGATACTTGCCGTATTTTGAAGGTAGTTTACATTAAGGTCGTCTCTTTACATTAATTGTGTTGGTTTAATTTAAGTAATACGGTTCAGTCAATTATATGACTTATATTATTTATATTATTTGTAACATTCTAGAAATGGTCAAAATTTAAATTACAACTTGTATCATAGATAAAAAGAATGACTCTATTTTAATAGAGTAGATGTAAAAATATATATCATCATACTCTTTTTGTGCATTTCTATATTAGAAACTAGGGTAAACCCGCCATACGGACGGACATAAGATAAACTAGTAACATAAATTTATTTTAACTAAAAATAATATTGATTTTCATAATTTTCTTATAACAATTTTAACTATTTACTTTACCAGTAATTTACAAAATATAATTATAGTGGATTGGAGTTAGTAGAGTAAACTTATATTCGATCTCAGTTATATAGTTGTTTAATGAATTATATTATTTTATACATTTTTTTTAAAACTAATGATATATACAATATAAAAGAAATAAATTATTAATTATACCTAAATATATTTTAGGATAAATAGATAATATGAAACTATCGTTACTATCTATACATATACATGTTTGTTATAGATCAAAAAAACTGATTATAATTTTAAAATAAATATTGCTGACTAATTTATAAAATATCATCCTTACAATAATTTTACTATACATAATTT